AATATCAAGCCTCAATTTCATGTCTGTGTCATAAGGATACGATGACGGCATCCTACCTTAAACGTGTGAATTACGTTTTTTGTAGGAGCACCTGAAGGCATCTTAAAAAGCATTAAGGGGTAATGACCTTAAAAGGAAACAGAAGAAACCGGTGAAACATAAAAGCAATTAAACACATCAAAGGAGCAGATTGATACATTGTAAACATCAAAGCATCAACATGTAAAAAAAAAAAGACACAAATGGAAAAGTTTGTAAAAAACATTTCACATGTGGATTGTGTTTAGTTGGCGCCCTCTGCAGGACACTGGGGGGAGCTTCAAGCACCTCCGCTGCTGGGAAATAACGCAGGACATGGATTTTACATGTCAACATGCGTCCACGGTCTTCACACGTGTTTAGCATCCAGCGCACATGAAAAAGAAAAAAAAACCCTCCATGTGTAGTTACATAATGTTCAGACACCTACCGGTTTCCTCCAGCGGGGGTATAGCTCAGTGGTAGAGCATTTGACTGCAGATCAAGAGGTCCCCGGTTCAAATCCGGGTGCCCCCTCATTTTACAACATTTCCGCCTTTAAACGTTTTACGCTTTGATTTGTCGTCTTATTATGTCACTGCTCGTTTTCACGCCCCCCACTGACCCCTGCGTCCGTTTATTCGACTCTCCCCACCCACCCACCTTTGAATGAACAATGGTCTGGTCCACCTGTTCCCACGTGCTCAACCTTCTTTTAAAACGCGGCCTGTAAACACACGTGTCACTGCCTCTACCTCCAGGTTAATGTGCCTACGTGAAACTGTAAGTTATACATTAACACACATGTTATTGTGTCATTCCATTCCTTATTTGGAGCTAGTCTCTCTGCTAACACCGGTTAAGCTAATTACGAGCTAATAGCTGCAGGGTCGATTCAGAAATAAGTCTTTTAACAGCTTGGTTCATATTTAATATTCATTACTAGCAGCTAACATGTTTCTATTGTTTCTATGTCAATATGTAGCTGTGCCATATTAGCTATTTCTGCTTTGGCTAACCAAACCCTACAGTGGTCTGCTAGCTACGTAGCTGAATTCACTATATTTACACATCTGTCTGTGGGTTGTTTGATTTGTGGGTCAGCATTTCTTCAGGCATCTTTGTGTGTTGTGTTTGTTGTATTCTCATGGCTACATCAGGTGGCAGTGATTAGCATTACCTGTTTATCATCAGTCCCTCATAGTGTGTGTCTGACTTTGTGTCATGTAGGGCTGGGCTTTCAAATGATATCAATGATCATCACTATATAATTTTTATCGGATACAGGCCTATGTATTGCTTTAGTGTTAATGTATTGTACAAAGACAGTGAGGAGGTATAGCTCGTAATTGATCTACCTCAGAGTTGTAAAATGTTTTGTCGTTCCACTTCCATTTTAAAT